GTGGCCGCCCTCACCAAGACACTGGACTTTCCGTAGGAGGGGAAGTGTTCTGCAGCGTGCAGAGCAATTGGGTCGCGTGTTAGTTTGACCCATTGCAAACACACACAGTCTGTGTGTGTGGCGTGTCAAAGGTTCCGATACCTTAGTGGAGGTACTGAGTACTTTAGTGAATGGTGGTCAGTAGGCGCCTCGCGGCGTGTTTAACCTCACTAATGTCAGTGTGTTGTATTTGCTACCTTGACGAAGGTCCAGTGGCCGAAAGCCGAGAAGAAGCGGGAGACAAAACACATTTGCATCGTCCACGCCATTGTCTTGGATGATGGTTGACTTCATGTTGGCAACACGACAACTTCGTCGAGGTGTCGATTACATGTAGGTCCATCCCCCAGTACCTTGTCAACATACAGTCTTTGAGTTGGCCGTGCTGTAGTGCATGCGAGGTACTACTCATGTTGCATTTTCATGACGTACACTTCAACTCTACTTGGTCAAACACACATTGGTTAGTATTACTAGTAGTATATACTAGATACTGTAACGTTTCGTATTTGTTTCGTGAACCACCAAGCACTGTAACAGTAGATAGCCTCTGACAGATACAACCTACTACAGTGATCCCCCGATTTTTGCAGCCTGGTATAAACTAATATCCCATGTAAAGCTATGCAATATTAAGTTCAAGAGGTATTAATACACTTTGAAATTCAAACGATTGTAGCCAATCCGGCGCAACAACCGCAGATCAACGACATTTGATCTCAGTGCAATCACACAATGCCAGCACCTGCCAAGCGACTGACGCTCATTCAAAAAGACAGAGTCCGAACATATTACAGCTGCTCTTTCGACCGCACGTTCTCGATTACATGCACGTGGATCACACAGGAGGTCGGCGTCATCGTGCATCCCACACTGTTGGTCGCATTGTTCGGGACGATCGCACCAGCTCAGCAGCATACATCGATGCAGACGTCACTGCGTCACGCTGCAACATCAAGGGACCAAAGCTAACTGAGCTTGACACTGAGTTGGCGGCTTGGGTACAAAATTCTCCCAGTAAGTTGCGTATTGGCGATCCTATGTCATTCGATGTACTTTTGAGTTAATAATGAAAGTGCAATCTGTTTACTCCTCAAGTACTTGTTTATATCAATATATACCGGGTATAACAGAACGTGGAGGTTAATTCTCCTCTGAAAACTAACAGGCTCTAACATAGCGTGGCCAAATAACCTATAATTGCCTTATTCAGCCGAGGAACGGGTAGGAAAACCTCCTAATATGCATAACCCTTGGCGCTGATACCTCTATCTTATTATATTCCGACCAGGCTGCAAAAATCGGGGGATCACTGTATACCTCGACTACTTATAAGATCAAATACGATGACTCAGCCACTAAGGCTACGCGACAGGTCGCCCGCTACAAAGATCGACTTGTCATCCACGGACACACTCAGGTCCAAGC